TGATCTTCCCTGGGGATTTTACCTCGTCAAGCAAATCTGCCCGTGGGGTCATGTGACTTGTGCAACTCGAATCTATCACCCAGTGGGTGAGGGGGCGCATCACAACCTTCCCAACTGAACCCACATCACCCCCACTCCCTTTCACATCCTCAACCATGAGGAACATCCCAGGGTCGGCTTCACCTTGTGCACCATCACCTTGTGCACCTGAACCTTGCACAGCGCCACCTCGTGCACGTTCACCACTTGGCGACTTCATGCCTGGAGGCGCCCATCCCTCAGGCCGGCTGAAACACTTGAACCACGGGTGTCCAGCCTTCTTGCAGTACCAGCACGCACCTTCCATTCGGTTGCTCCCCCTGCCACCACAGCTCCCATGCCCCTCATTGTAGTCACCTCGGCCTCTCCCTCTGCCAAAGCCTCTCCCACGGCCTCAGCCTGTCCCTCCCCCTCTTCCTCTACTGCCTCCTGCAGCTCCATACCCCTCAACAGTTTTGTTGGCAGCACCACCTCCCGTGTGGCGCCTGCGGAAGTCCTCATGCAGGATCTGCTGCCGTAGCCACTCAGGCGTCCACTCGTCCTGCTGAGCGTTGAGGGTGGGGATAAGGTTGTCCCACGAGTTGTCGAGCACCGAGATGATCTTGGTGCAGTGCTGCATCTCCGACACCTTGCTGCCCGCCACTGCTCGCATAGGTGTCCTTGACCTTGTCAAGGACTGGCTTCACATCATCTCCTGGCCGCATGGAGAGGGCAGCCAGCTCCTTCTCCAATACGATCACCATCGGCAGCGTGTTGGGCTGAACCAAGTTGCGTAGCAGCTTCCACGCCTTCGGTCCCGAGCCATCGAGCTCCACCAAATCCTTGATGTGCTGGAACATGTCGTTGTTGACCGACTGTAGAATCAAGTCGTACAGCACCGCGCTCCGCTCAATCCACCGATCGCGGGCATCTCCTTCCTCGGGCATCTTCTCCTCTCCCATAGCCAATTTGAGCAGCTAGTAGCGCTTGAAGGTGCGGAGAGTCACTCTACAACGGTAGTGAGCTAGACTATGGGGGTTGGCATAAACTACTAGAGGTGATCGTAGCTTTGCTTGGTTCCTTGGTGCTTGCACATTCACGGGAGAAATCGGCAAGAGTTTCACTAGCAAAGTTGGAATTCCAGAACGATTCATCAAGCAATGACAACAATGACTACATCAGGCACCTAGCAACCCTGCTGCTAGCCTGCTAGACCGCCAGCACAGCTCAGTCGATCGCCTGCCAGAGTTGCGTAGAGGAGCCGCGCCAGCACTGCAGAAAGGTGACATGCCAGCGGAGCAGGTCGACGGCGTGCCAACGCTGCAGCAGAGCGGCTGTCTAGCGTTGTCCCTTAGAACACAGCAGTGTGCACGCTCGCAGGTGTGCGCAGACGATTGGCCCGACATGCCTCGTTGGGCATTCGTCGGCTGTTGTCTGCGCCTGACAAGCCACATCGACTCCAGGATACCAGCCCGGAGTCGCCTACGCCATCGCAACCTCGACGACGTTCGCGTGCCTCCGCAGAACTCGTCGAGCAGGTTACCCAGTCGACCCGGTCGACCACCAGGTGCTTCCGGTCGACCACCAGGTCCCTCTGGTCGACCACAACTCCCGACGAGCTACCCCCTGGTCGACGGACCCCTTCCGTCGACTAGAACCATCAGCGGTTGTCGCCGAGCTCCCCTCGTCGACCGCTGCTCACTTGTCAGGTCGTCGGACTGCTCCGTCGACCTCCCGGTCGAACCGTAGGTCCTGGTCGACGTCCCACCCGTCGCCCATGTTGGTGCAACCCTATGGTTTGCACTCGGCTTGTTGTCCGTGTGCGTGCATGTGTGTGTGTATGGAATGGTATGAGGGCACGGGATAATATATATTTCATGCTTATAATTGTGTGTGAATGTTGAGTCATGATGTCGAGTGTGTGTGTCGAGTCAATAGCGAGTTATCGCTAGACGCGTGTTACGCGGTCGTTTGTGTCTCGCGCGCGGTTTCTAGTTTGTCGTGCGCAGTCTCTATTTTGTCCTGTGTCGAACGTTCGGTGTGTCGCAGGTGTGTGCAGCAAACCCATCAAAACTCAAGGATGAGTTTGTGATGAAGAGCCCGAGCCTTGGTGTCAAGCCTCAAGTGATTTCGAAGCTCGCCAAATAGGGTACACCTCAAGATATTGAAGATAGTTACATTACTTTGTGTAGTGTAACATTTCACTTGGTGTAGGCCCTAGTGAAGGGTACTTTCGAGACCCTTCGAGGTTGGGGACAGTGTGGCACTGTTCCACATCACTGTACCTCGGCTCTTGGGGTTTGTAGGAGCAGGGAGTCATTCCCAACTCGTAACTCTTCCTAACTCTTCCTATCTCGTGTTCTAAGACTTTAGTGGCTGCCATAGTGCCGTTCGTTCAAACTGACGTTGTGTCGTCAATACTTGATGAAATCGTGCGATCTAAATTGCCTATAGTATGCGACAATAAGACGCTCTAGATCCAAGTTGAATCAAGTCATTTGAAGCTGTGACCAGAACGCTATGAACGTTTGAAGCCGCTGTGCAGAAATCCGGCTGTGCACTCTATCTTTCGTTTTAGGCACATTGGAGCCTACGGTGACTATAACAAGTGGTATCAGAGCCCCTTGGAGCAGTTTCGACAACTGCTGGACCTGAGGAAAGGGGTGGCAGAGGTGCTTGTGGCAGTGGAGAAGCCTAAGCTCAAGGCCAACCCCGTGACTCAGCCATGGCGCCCGTGCAACCAAGTGTTGGCCCATCTAGGGATGAGCCTAGAGTGTTTGGCCTTGACAAGTTCAACGGTGACAACTTTGCTGAGTGGTCCTTCAGAATGGAGAACGTGTTTGATCACTATGACCTGCTGGAGGTGATGGAAGGAACGGAGAAGCACCCCGAGAACGACCCGGAGAAGAGCCCGTGGGTGCGGAAGAGCGCACAAGGCTACCTCCTACTAGGGTAAGCGTTGGGGAGCAGCCAGATCCGTCACATCAAGCCTTTCCAGCGTGAACCAGAGAAGGGACCAAAGGCATGGGCTGCTCTCAAGGGTGTACACGCTCCTGCAACAGCGGCGATAGCTGTGGTGTTGGAACGGCAAATGGCGACACTACGAATTGAAGAGGATGAAGCGGTTGAAGAAGGGGTGCAGAAATTATTCGACTTGTTGACGCAGCTTGAGGGAGCTGATTTGAACTATAGTGAGCTCCAAAAGAAGACCAAGTTGCTGGCCCTACTCCCTGAGTCATGGTCCTCACTCATCATCAACCTTAATCGCGACTTGCCCCGCCTCTCGCTTGAAGACGTGAAGCGAGCTATCCTTCAAGAGGATTTCCGCCGCCGTGAGTTGGCGAGTGCGGATGGCGCTGGGGCAGCGAGCATCGGCCGTGGATATGGTCGAGGAAGAGGCAGAGGACGAGGGGGAGGAAGGTTTGGTGGCAGCAACTTCGGCGGAGGCCGCGGGAGTGGTGGTTACGGCAGCGACGACAAGAGCTACGGACGCGGTCGCGGCCGATTCGACGGCGAGTGTCACTATTGCCACAAGAGCGGACACATGTGGCGCGACTGCTACAAACTCCCTGATGGTTGGACCCATGCTCAAGGCCAAGAGGGTAGAGGAGCAGGAGGAGGGAGAGGACGAGGCCGTAGAGGCCGTGGCGGTCGTGGTGGCGGAGCTGCAAACATGAAGAGCGGAGACAACGACAAGGACCCGAGCGACGATCGATACCCGGGTCTATTCTACTTCGTGTCGACGCAAGTACCGGCTGGTCCAGAGTAGGATGAAGGCTTTGAGGAGCCAGCAGCTGTGGGGAAGGTGACCCTACACCCCCTGGACTATTGGGTGATTGATAGTGGCGCTACCTATAGCATGACACCTCGCCTGGACTTGCTCACCGAACTCGAGCCGTCACCGGTGAAGCATGTCACATCGGCTTTGGGGCAGCGAGCAGAGGTGAAAGGCATGGGCAAGGCCATGTTCAAGGGTGTTTATGGGAAGATGGTGGGCCTCAAGAACGTGCTTTGGGTGCCCAGCTTTGCTGCAAACCTGATTTCCGTGCGGCGGTTGGCAAAGGCCGGCATGGACACTAACTCGAAGGGAGCCAAGACCTACACCGCAAGGCTTGGCGATCGGGTTCTTTGGGACCTTCATGAGGACAGGGATGTCTACAACGAGATGTGGCAGATCCCTGTGGTCCCTATGACTGCGAGTAACTGTGACTGCGAGTGGACAGGCTGTGGACACTCTAAGGGACGAGCAGGACGAGTAGAAGGCGGGAGACCAAGAACCTGCTCAAGGAGCGGAACGAAGTACGGCCGCGGCCGCGCAGCGCCTCCAGAACCGGCAGGGACAGCACTAGTACTCGCAGCGGCAGCACCAGCGCCAGCAGTACCTCCAGCTCCAACAGCGCCAACTCCAGCACCCTCAAACGCACCAGCGCCAGTAGAACCACCAGCGCCAACACCCCCAGCAGCTCTAGATCCAGCGGGACCAACAGCTCCAGTACCGCCAGCAGCTCCAGCAGTACCTCCAGCAGGACGAACTCCAGCAGCCTCAGCAGCACCCCCAGTCCCAGCAGCTCCAGCACCACCAGCACGAGCACCTCCGGGACCAGCAGCAACAGTAGCACCTTCGGCTCCAGCAGCATGGCTCCAGCGCCGGGCAAACCACTTGCGCAGCTCCTACGGAGAGAGTAGTTCCCGCCTCGACGAAGCACCGCTAGAGACCACACGAGCAGACCCAGCACCCCCAGGCTCTGCACCCCAAGGCTCAGCACCCCCAGGCGCAGCACCCCCAGGCGCAGCACCCCCAGACTCAGCACCCCCAGACTCAGCACCTACAGGCTCAGCACCTCCAGACCCAGCACCCCCAGGCTCAGCACCCCTAGACTCAGCACCCCCAGGCTCCGCACCCCCACGCTCAGCACCTTCAGACCCGGCACCCGCAGTGTGTACAGGCTCGACCCCGGCCGACGGGTAAACGTGGCCAAGTGTCAGCCCGTCCGAGCACACGTACAGTGGGTCACCCGCTGACTCGCAGGCGTGAACTGGTCAACCCCCCTATCCTGTAGATCAGCTCCACTCACCAAGTTCCTAGAGAACGAGGGGAGGTAGACACCTGACAGGGTGCCAGAGGGAGCTGCCGGACATGGTAAGACAGTGGAGAAGCTAGCAAGAACAGGACCCCCAGAGGGGTCACCCAGGGAGACCGCAACCAGCCTACTAAGCGGCGTAAGCGTGGTGCGGTCTCGAAAAAGGAGCGGGAAGCACCCGAGTCAAGGGTGAAGGTGTGTAAGGCCTGAGCAGACGTGGTACCTGGGAGAGCAGACTCACCAGCACCTGGGGCAGCAGACGCACTAGCACCTAGAGCAGCAGCCTCAATGCCTGGGTCGGGCGGAACACACTACTAACAGTCACCCTCAACACTATCAAACACAGCATACATGGCAGCAAGAATAGCATCACAATCAAGCTGAAAGATAGCAACCCCCGCCTGAGACAGATCTCCCCAGCGAGGGATCTCAGTGGCGTCAGGGAACTGGTGACGCCACGCGTCCGTCAGGCAGCCGAAGCAGCGCTGGGTGGAGTGCAAGCCCCCGCACTGCTCACCTGCACGGTCGCCGGTACGGAGGACGTAGGTGCAGGGACCTGTACCCCCACCCCGCTGACGCCCAGCGTACCACTCACGAAGCTACTGAGGGGACAGGGTCTCACGACTGCGCTGCTGCTGCTGGCGTGGACCACCACCGGAGCCACTCCTCTGCGCAGAGCCGCGACCAGCTCCACTGCTGCCTCCGCCACCTCCCCCACCTCCGCCGCCTCCGCCACCTCCGCCGCCTCTGCTCCCTCCGCCACCGCTGCCACCTCCTCCGCCTCCACTGCTGCCACCAACACCTCCACCCCCGCCACCACTCCCACCACCACCCCCACCCCCTCCACTGCCTCCACCACCACCTCCACCGCCCCCGCCAGCCCCAATAACGCCCCCGCCAGCCCCTCCAACGCCCTTGCCCCCCTTGCCGTTGCCGGTGCGGTGTCTCCCGTTAGGGGCAAACGCAGCGCCGACCGACTCGAAGCCAACGAGGTCAGCCGCAGCAGCAAAAGCAACGGAGGGCAAGAGGGGGGAGGGAGAACACCCCTCAAAGACGGGGGTGCGAGGGTCACCACGAGAGGCTCCTACAGCGACTATGCTCTTCTTTGCTGCTAGGAGGCGCTCCTCGAGGAGGTCAACGGTCAGTGTGGTGGGGAAAACTGAGAGGAATTGGTCCCTGACTAAGCGAAGGGAGTCAGGGAGCCGGGTGACTATGTAGTAGAGGGTGATGTACATGGGGGCGGGGTTCTTGGCACAGAACTCAGCATGAAGCGCAGCGCGGTAGCGAGTGTCGCTAGTGCGAAGGTGCATAATGAGGTCAGCGACTATGGGAAAGGCAGCAAGGTCAGGGAACAGGTACGGTAGCATGAGGCGTCTAAGTGCAGCAGTGGCAGGGGAAGAGTAGCGTGCAACTATAGCATCGTACAAGGTGTTAGCACTCTTGTACTGGCTAAATTGCGCATGCTCAGTGGTCGGTAAGTGGCGACGTACAGCAAGACGGGCAGCAGCATTGCGCGTGGCCCACTGTGAGCGAACAGTGCTATCAGCAGTAGCAGGCGGGGCAGGAGAGGCACCAGATGTGAGATTGAACAGGGAGAGTCCGTCTGCCCTATCGCACTGTAGGAATAGCTGGAGGTCATCGACCCAGACCTCAAAGTCAACAGCACGACCCTCAGTATCAAAGGTAAGGACACTGGGGGTAGCCATGACTGTAGTGGCCTAGCAGGGAGTGATCTCACCAGTCCAAGTAAGTAGGGCCGGGGCGCGCTGGTAGGAACAGTAGCGGCTCGATGGCAGGGCGGCTCGGCGGCTCGGCTGCTGGGCTGCACGGCGGCTTGGCGGCTCGGCAGTTGGGCGGCTTGGCGGCTTGGCTATTGGGCAGCTTGGCTGCTGGGCGGCTCGGCGGCTCGGTTGCTGGGCGGAGCGGCGGCACAGCGGCTCAGCTGCTGGGCGGCTCGACGGCTCGGCTGTTGGGTGCCTCGGCTACGGGGCGGCTGGCGGCGTGGTGGCTCGGCTGCTCAGCTGCTGGGCGGCTCAGCGGTGAAGGGGTTGGTAGAGGCAGCGACGAGGCCGGTAGAGGCGGCGACGGGGCCGGAAGAGCGGCGACGGGGCCGCTAGGGGCGACGATGGGGCCGCTAAGGGCGGCAAGGTGGCGGCGAAGGGCGACGACGGGGCCTCCAGGGGCGTCGACGGGGCCGCTAGGGGCGGCGACGGGGTCGCAGAGGGGCCAAGAGGGGCGGCAATGAGGTCGCGAAGGGGCTGTAAGGGGCCTAGAGCGGGCGGCGACGGGACCGCAAGGGGCGGCGACGGGGCTGCGAAGGGGCCGCGAGGGGCCTAGAGGGGGCGGTGACGGGGCCGCTAGGGGCGGCAACGGGGCCTAGAGGGGCGGCGACGGGGCCTAGAGCGACGGCGACGGGGCCGCGAATGGGCCGCGAGGGGCCTAGAGGGGGCGGTGACGGGGCCGCTAGGGGCGGCAACGGGGCCGCGAAGGGGCCGCGAGGGGCCTAGAGCGGCGGCGACGGGGCCGTGAAGGGGCCGCGAGGGGCCTAGAGGGGCGGCGACAGGGCCGCAAAGGACGGCGACGGGACCACTTAGGTGGCGCGAGGGGCCTCTAAGGGGGCGCGACGTGAGGGCGGCCTACGGGGTGCGCCTCGGGCAGGAAAAAAAACATAGAGTTAGGTTGTGGGCCCTGAGAAGCGTTCCCACGAGGGAACCTGCTCTATACCATGTGAAGAATGAGGAATGAATGAACTAGGAAAGAGGTGGGTACAAGTAGGAAAACTTAGAAATGTTGTACCCCATATAGTCTACCCCACTACAGCCTACACATACTATAGCATATAAGTTTGACAAATACATCATTATCCTGAGTCTAAGCCTTGAGAAATGATCCTAAGGGATTTTCTCAGCCCAACAACTGCAACAACTGAAGCGACAACTATGATCAGCACTGTCTCGCTCGAACAACTGTTTGAACGATTGCCAACAACAGATAAAGATCTCTACGTATTGCGGAACGGCGACGCGGAACCTCCTCGCAACCCGCACAACCTGCTCAACCTGCTGCAAATGGCCGAGAAAACACCCCACAAACCTTCTTCCTCGACACCAACAACTCAACACCAACAGCCTCCCATCCAAGTGATGAATCACTTAATTTTGAGCAAGCTCGTTTTCTCAACGTTTCAAAGATCAAGACAAGTACCGCGTTTGAGGACAATGATTATTATACATGGAGTTTTGAGCTAGAGCTCCTCATAGAGACAGCGCCGATATACCATTACTTTGACGGATCCTATCCTAAACCAGTGAACGACACCGACGGCACCCGTGCACAATATTACAGCGAGTCCGTCATGCGGTATAGTATGTGTACGAATTAGAACGAGAAATTACTAGAATGAGAAAAGTACAAGGTTTGTATAGGCAAAACCTAACAGGGCTGTACCCCATAAGGAGTGCTCCAATACAGCCTAGAGTATAGTTATGACACAACCCCATAGGCAACGTGGGGGACAAGCAAGAGAACAAGGCAAGGTCAAGCTCAGGGTGGATCACGACGTCACCACGCAGTCTGAGCACAAGAAAAGGCCACAAGGCCATTTCACATGTAGAGTTATATATCAAGGTGAACAAGCAGTACAGCGATCTCAACCTAACAAGTGTAAGCATGCAGGTGCAGGTATATATAGATCACAGTACAAGCAAAGTCAAGAGGTGAGCAAGTGAAGCCAAGTAGGCACTAGACCTAACAGAGAACAGAAATGCTGATGATCACAAGGCTGAAGTGCCTCAGTAAAGATATCAGCAGTGTTGGCCCGAGTGGCCACGTAAGCAAGACGAAGCTGACCACGCTGCTGCAACTCTCGAGCACGGAAATAGCGAAGAGCGATGTGCTTCGTTCTGTGCTCCGGTCTGTGCTCCTATCACAAGGCAATCATGGCCTTGTTGTCGACGTACAGAACTAGAGGAGAACGAGGCGGCTCTCCCAAGTCGGTGAGCAGGTAGGTGAGCCAGCGTAACTCCTGTGCAGCCATGGCCCCAGCGTAAATCTCAGCCTCACAACTGGAGCTGAGAACAGAAGACAAGCGGGTAGACAGCCATGAAATAGAGTCGGAACCAAGGCTAAAGGTGTAACCCTGTGACGACCGCTGCGTAGCTAAGTTGTCAACCCAAGAAGCGTCTGCGTGACTAGTAAGGACAACTCTAGCCCGACCTCCAAGCACGAGCCCCATGCCCGACGTACTGCACAGGTAGCGCAACACCCTCTTAGCTGCATCCATGTGCTCTGGTCGGTGTCTCCCAGGAGCAACATAGCGTGCCGGGATGCTAAGAGGGTATGCCAGGTCAGGTCGAGTGCAGGTCATCAGGCACATGAGGCAGCCCACAAGCTCTGAGTACGGGCCAATCGACTCTACGGACTCATCGAAAGGCAGAGCTGAGAGCGAGTGGCGAGTAGACAGAGGAGTGGCATGAGGCGAGGAGTGCGTGAAGCCGAAGCATTGAAGGACCTGCTGCACCATGTGTGACTCAGTCAGGGTAATGGTGCGGCGTGCTCTGTCCCGGGTGATCTGCAAGCCAAGATAGCTACGCAGCTCACCCAGGTCTGTGCACGTGTGTCTCGTCTGCAGCTCCAAGTTCACGTGGGCCAGTCCAGCAGTGTCAACTGTGGCAAAGACCAAGTCGTCGACGTACACGAGGATGTAGACCGGCGGCAGAGTAGTGTCGGTGCGTAGAAACAGCGACGGGTCAGCAGTGGAAGGAGTAAACCCAAGAGCCGCAAGCGTAGTCCTCAGTGTGTCGTGCCACTCACGGGGCGCCTGGCGGAGACCGTAGACTGGCCGCCAGAGGCTCCACTGGGTACCAAGAGGAAACGACCCAGTGAAGTCAGGTGGGCGGCGCAGCCAGATCTCCTCGTGCAGGCTGCCCCGTAGGAAAGCTATGCTGAAGTCAAGAGAGTGAAGCTCGTAGTCACGATGAGCGGCGACGTGTAGCAGCACCCGATGAGTGGTCATCTTTGGGGTGGGGGAGAAGGTCTGGAAGAAGTTAACTTCCTGTCGCTAACTAAAGCCTCTAGCAACGTATTGCGCCTTGAAGACAGGCGGAGAACCCGGCGGCCGCTTCACCCTCAAAATCCACATGCCATCGACAATGGTCGCCCCAGGTGGGGGAAGCTCGTCAATGTAAGTGCCTGTGGACTTCCAGGAATCCATCTCTGCGTCCATAGCTGTCTACCACTGAGAGGACTAGGGACCCTCTATTGCCTCTGCGTAAGATCGCGGGGTCGGGATGTCTGGTCCATCCGGGCCTCCCCCAGGGGCAAGCAGCATGGACACAAGATGAAGTAAAGCAGCAGCAAAGCATTGGAACTCCTCCTGCCTGTCCGCAAGGACGTCCGTGCCAAGAGCACACTCACCCTCGACGGACGGAGGACAGACAGACTCAGACTCAGCAACAAGACTAGCGGCGTAGTCTAGACGACAGTGAGCAGCAAAGTCGACCAGCTCAGCAACAAGAGCCGACGCAGCAGTAGACTCAAAAGAAGGGTCAGTGACAACAGTGGCCAGGAGACGCGTGATAGTAGGACTAGCAGCACGAAGGGAGTCAGACTCTGGGTCCGGACCGACAGCAAGGGAGGACGCAGGAGGAGATGGAAGAGGGACACACTGCGGAGCAGTGGAAGGACCAAGTGCCATCTGGTGCGTGCCGGGGACACGAGGAGGACACGGACGCGGAACGCGACGACCTGTGCGAGCAGCGCGAATAGGCGACGCAGGGCGAGATGCAGGCGCACGACGCTTAGCAAGACCTCTAGTCAGACCAGTGTAAGGAGAAGGAGCAGGCAGTGGGGAGGCTGGCTGTAACTGCGACTGCGACTCGACAGGCAATGGACACTTTAAGGGAGGAGTAGGACCAGCAGAAGGCGGGAGACGAAGAACCTGCTGAAGGAGCGGAACGAAGTATGGCTGCGGCCGCGTAGCTCCTCCAGAACCAGCAGAGACGAAAACTCTCCACCTCTGTCGAGTGCAGACGCAGAACAAGAAGGTCTGAGCTGAAAGTCTCGCTGAGCTGGCGACGGGCTGCGCGGATCCAGTTGATCAGCACCTCAGTGACCTCACCCTTGTGGCGCAAGGGGAAGACTGTGGTGTAACACAAGTAGTCGTCAACGACCAGCAGAAAGTAGCGCTCGTGACCCTGTCCACAGACGCGGGCTGGGTCCCACATGTCCATGTGAAGAGTCTGCAGGGGAACCTCCGTCGGAGGGAACTCGGAGGAGTGAGGAGCGGTGCGCTACCGCCCCTCGACGCAAGGAATGGAGGTAGGGCAGGCCTCGGGGGAAGGGGAGGGAGAGACCGGGGAATACCAATGACAAGGACATGGGAGGCTATGCCTCGGAAACGAGGCAAGGAGGGGTGACCAAGGCGGTGGTGCCAGAGGAGAGTCTGGTGAGACAGGAGGCGACACGAGCAGGGGGCGGACTCAGGACCAGACCGGTGTTGTGCCAACACATTACAGTGGCACGGTCATCGCACTCCCATTCGGCCTACAAGCCTGCTCAGCTTCTGGAATTTTGTGGGGAGGTTTTTCAACATTTACTCTTCAAACCCTCAAAGTTTCAGAGTTTTTGAAGCAGTTACCAAGGCATGACAAGATTTTATGTTTCAAGACTTATGGCATCCCGGAAGTGTGTGTTACTCCTTTTTTGG